GAACTTAATTGTTCCTTGACTAGATCGGCGAAACACCTACATTCATTCATATGATAAAGCATTGAATAGAAGCTGCAGAAGTTAGGAACATTCTAGTAATTTATCAAAGGCCTTATCGAACAAGACAAGGAAGTGCAGCTGATAACACGTTATAAAGGACAGGTCTGAATATTAAAACCACTTTAAATTTGCCCCAGAATCACTGCTAATATAGTAATGGTGGCAAAATAGGTTTTTATGCGCGAGTCATACAGCTGCTTGTTAAATTAGATGGCAGAGCTGGTAATCATAAATACGCCAACATTGGCGGAGGAACACTCTGCAGCCTCTGGACATATGTTAGCTGGTTACGACGATAAAAGATGTACAGTAGTTTGTATAACTGATGACATGTGAAGAGCAAAATTTGAGTGCGGGATTTAACACATTTGGAGTTGTTAATTTTATATTTGTAGTATTTTGTTCATTAAGTGGACTTGAGGCGCAAATTGATGTTTACTTTAAAAGACCTCAGTTTAGATCAGTAAACTAGGGGCAAGTAGGGCAAAATCTAACGTTTGTTGATATCCAAGGAATTTCATTAATTATTAAACTCTGCGGAACAAAACTTCTTGTTTGTGCGTGTTGTACTATAAAAGAACATTAATAAAGACCACAAGCTTTTTTAATTATATGTGCTCAGAGAACAGAAAATGTCGTTTTGCGTTCATTAGGCGTACGTATCAGATAACACATTATTATCGGAAAAAGAAGAGCGGAGTCAGTTTACAAAATTTTCTTTTGCAAATCTGTTATGTTTTGTACCATAAAAATAAGTAATAAACTTACGGGACCTTAAGTTGTTTTACTACGCCGAAAATGGTGGCCGTATACAAACATATATATGCCAAAAGATTTGGGATCCAGATATGTTATCGCGTTCATCGTCTCCCAAAGGTAAGGAAGAAGAAAAGGGGGCAGGTTCATGTACCAAATCAAAGTCAAATCAAACCAAACCAAACTAAATCTCCCAATCCTGGACCAACTCAAAACCACCAAACTCAACTACCACAAAACTCTGGGAACCACAGCAGACGCGTCTTCGAACCGCGTTCCCACCCGCCCTCCCG